CTGGGAACCATTGGAAAGAGTCCAGCTCCCTCCTCCTTCAACCCACCCTTGAGATCCTTGTCAGCATGAATAAGGTCTCCCCTCAGCCTTCTGTTCTCCAGACTAAAGAGTCCTAGCCCTCTCAGTCTTTCTTCATCAGGGAGATGCTCCAATCCTTGAATCATCTTTATTGCCCTTTGCTGGACTCTCTCCAGCAGTTCCCTGTCTCTCTTGAACTGGGGAGCCCAGAACTGGATGCAGGATTCCAGCCCACATGTTGGTATTAACCTGCCCTGAGGCATCAGTTCCAGAAGGACAGGGAACTGCTGGAGAGGGGACAGCAGAGGCTCCAGAGATGAGGAGGGGCCTGAAGCATCTCCCTTACGAGGAAAGGCTGAGGGACTTGGGGCTTTTGGTGCCTGACATTCTTCTTCCCCAGGTGCAGGACCCTACACTTTTCCCTGTTGAACCTCATGAGGTTCTTCCTTGCCCAGCCCTCCAGCCTGTCCAGGTCTCTCTGGATGGCAGCACAGCCCTCCAGGGTGTCAGCCACCCCTCCCAGTTTGGTATCATCAGCAAACTTGCTGAGGATACACTCTGTCCCCTCATCCAGGTCACTGATGAATATGTTGAACAGCACTGGACCAAGTATTGACCCCTGGGGGACACCACTGGTCACAGGCTTCCAACTTGAACCTGCTCCATTAATCATTACCTTTTGAGTCCTGTCACACAGCCAGTTCTCAATCCACCTCACTGTCCCCTCATCCAGCCCACACTGCCTCAGTTTCCCAATGAGGATGTTATGGGACACAGTCTCTAGACCCTTAAGACTGTTTTAAGCCTTTGGTGAAATGAGAGGGGGAGGCAGGAAGTACACACAAAGTCATTTGCTTCTGCAACACCCCTCGATGCTTTATTCTGACCTCTGGCTGTCTCCAGAGTATTATTGCTTCCCTTAGCAGTGCAAAGCTTGCTTTCTTTCCCCTTTTAAAGAATACTTTCCCTAGCCTGGGTTTACAGTGGTTCAAGTCCATGCTGTTCAGTGTAAGATGATTTCTTGTTGTTTGTCTGTCTGATGGTTCTTTCCTTTCTTACATCCTCAGCAAACCCGGTGTCTACGAGCTCAGCAAAGCACCAACCGGCGTTTCCAGGTAAGCAGATTGCACCTTTTTGTGAAACTTGGCATTTGCTGTTGCAGAACAAGGGGGTAACACCCACCTTCCTCAAGTCTGGTCTCTGCGGAGTGTTTTGGCTCCAGCAGGTGCACGTTGCCCTTCCTGCCTGTCTTCTGTTTAGTTCTGGAAGTACTTGGAGTGTCAGGGAGCAGAGACTTAGGCAGTGGGAGCAGCACTGAAGAGAAGAAAAATGAACCTCTTAAACATCTGGTGCTTAGTGCATCTGCTGTTCTTGTCCAAAATAAGGAGAAGGGGCTGTGTCCATGTGTTTACCATCCAGACTAAGTTGCTGCTTGAAATTTGGATCAAGTATTCCTGTGTTAGCTAGTGCCTGATGTTGTGTAGTTAAGAGCTACCAAAATCTTTTAGCTGTAAATTGGACTTGTTTTAAACTAATTTTTTTTTACAGAACAGAATCTTAGTTGTTGGAAGGGACCTCTGGAAATTGGACTTGTTTTAAACTAATTTCTTTTTACAGAACAGAATCTTAGTGGTTGGAAGGGACCTCTGAGATCATTGAGTCCAACCACAAAAAAAAAACAACAAAAAAAACCAACAACCCACAAACCAAACAAATACAAAACACACCACACCAAACACCCACCAAAACACAATTTAATAAAAGCATTTCATTTTAGCCGGATTTGATAACATTGGGGATGTCCCTTTTGCTTGCGTGCTATGCCTTAATTTTTTCAACTTCAGGACACTTCAAAAACTACATATTCTGTGATTCCTACTAAATAAAACGCATTTTATTTTACCTTGCTGAGTTACCTGCAATATTAATCCTTTTCTTCTGAATTTGATAGATTTTATTAATAGCAGAAAAAAACCCCCACAATCGTAATAACTTTTTGTGCATTTATTTCAAAGCTTTCATCTTGGTTTCTTCTAAAACTGCAGATAATTATACCAATTTGAAAAGTAAAAGCTTTGACCAGCTGGAAAGAGAGAAGATATGCAGCCAGTTGGGTTATTCTGTCATTTTCTGGAGTTTGTTTTCATAATAGGTTGCTGAAATAAATACATATCTAGAAAGTTAATAATGGTATTTTGCCTCACTTTTAGTACCTTTACTGTATATATATGTATTTTTTGTGATGTCTTCAGAGCATTGAATGCTCATGAGAGCAACCTCTTGTGAGCAGCGTTTCTCCTCTGCAGCTCCCACCACAGTGGCTGGAATTTTGGAATGCTGCTGTTAGTACAGTCAAAATACAAAATGTACATGTGAAAATAGGAGAGGTTAAATCCCTTTATCATAGAATCATAGAATTATCAAGGTTGGAAGGGACCTTTCGGGTCATTGAGTCCAACCATCAACCTGACTCTGATAAAACCCATCACTAACCCATGTCTCTAAGCACTGTGTCAGCCCGGCTTTTAAATCCCTCCAGGGATGGGGCCTCAACCCCTTCCCTGGGCAGCCCATTCCAAGGCTTCATAACCCTTTCCATGGAAATATTTTTCCTAATCTCCAATCTGAACCTCCCCTGGTGCAACTTGAGGCCATTTCCTCTTGTCCCATCGCCTGTGACTTGGGAGAAGAGACCAACCCCCCCTGGCTACACCCTCCTTTCAGGGAGTTGGAGAGAGCCAGAAGGTCTCCCCTCAGCCTCCTTTTCTCCAGGCTGAACACCCCCAGCTCCCTCAGCCTCTCCTCACAAGACTTGTGCTCCAGACACCTCACCAGCTCCGGTGCCCTTCCCTGGACCCACTCCAGAGAATTTAGGATTCTTGTGCTTGAAAAAGAGAGGGTAGGATGGCAGTAGTGATAAAGGGCTATTGAACGCTCCAGAGGATTTAGGGTTCTTGTGCATGAAATAGGATAGGATAGGATGGCAGTAGTGATAAAGGGCTATTGAATTCTGAATGGCATGGAGGTGGGGAATAAAGGGCAATTATTGACTTGTTTGTGGTTCCGTTATCAGGACTATCCAATTTATCAAACAGGAAGTTAATAAGCAGAAGGATGCCATTTTTCACACCATCTCTGGCTGATTACGGTTACTTATTGTTTGTGGTGCCATTATCAGGACTATCCAATTTATCAAACAGGAAGTTAATAAGCAGAAGGATGCCACTTTTCACACAGTCTCTGGCTGATTGCGTGACTCCTAGGATATTGTTGCTGTCCTATGTTTTCATAGGTTTTAAAAAGGAATTAGATGTGTTTGGTGAGGGGAAGACTCATCAGGAGCTCCTGCTGCCTCCTGTTCTTTATTTCACACCTGCTTTTGGCTGTGGTCAGAAATAGGATACTGGGCTTTGACTTTTGCTTTGATGGATTACAGCCATTCTTATCTGGGAATCCTGGGAATTGGAATATTTTATCAAAGCAAAGTTCCTTTCATTTTTTTCTTTATCTTCCTTAGGATTCATTTGATTCCTGGCTTTGTTGACTCGGAATTTTTCACACCATCTCTGGCTGATTACGTGACTCCTGGAATATTGTTGCTGTCCTATGTTTTCATAGGTTTTAAAAAGGAATTAGATGTGTTTGGTGAGGGGAAGACTCATCAGGAGCTCCAGCTGCCTACTGTTCTTTATTTCACACCTGCTTTTGGCTGTGGTCAGAAATAGGATACTGGGCTTTGACTTTTGCTTTGATGGATTACAGCCATTCTTATCTGGGAATCCTGGGAATTGGAATATTTTATCAAAGCAAAGTTCCTTTCATTTTTTTCTTTATCTTCCTTAGGATTCATTTGATTCCTGGCTTTGTTGACTCGGAACAAGCTGACTGGATGTTTGAACAGCTCCTCCAAGACATACCCTGGGGTCAGAGAACTCACGTCAGACAGGGTAAGGGGTGTGAAGAGCAACTTTTCAGGTCATTCCCAGGTCATTTCCATGCTAAAATCCAGGCTTTGTTTATCATTGTTTTGAGTTTTACATATTACCACTCCAATATATTTCCTGCCAGGTTTTCCATGCATATCTGAAGAGTACCTCTGCTTATTTTTTCAGTCTCTATCACCATGTTCCGATTGCCAATTAGATGAGATATTTACAAATTAAAGTTCCCTGTCTTAAAAATCTTTGAATTTTACTGCCTCCTCTTCATCTCGAGTTCTTTTTCCCACTCTTTTTTTTTTTTTTCAGATTAAGTCCCTGTTCCCTTCCTCTTCATCTCGAGTCCTTTTTCCCACTCTTTTTTTTTTTCAGATTAAGTCCCTGTTCCATCCCTTCACACTGTCTTCCAGTGATGCTGCAAAAACTGTGTTCTTTGAGGTTTCTGTCACCAAGAATGTTTTTTGCTCCTCTCATTTAAAATCCCAGCAGAGCACGTGTCTTTTCCCTTGTCTTTGCTTATTAGCTCCAGCGTGCAGTGAGAGAGGAGGCTGCTATTCTGGATTTGTTCACTAAGGGGCACCTGGTTTAGCTAAATTTCAGTCGGAAAGGGATGGATATAAGATAATATATTGGAGTTATTACTGGACAGGGCTGGAAAATGTCTTCAACATCTGTGTTTATTGGCTTGCAGTAAAGGTACGGTATGATGGAGAATGTTACCTGTCAAGGGTGAGGAACAGCTGCCAAGAGAGTCCTTTCAGAAGCTGAAAGTACTTTTAACTTGATGTTTGTGTTACAGCACGGAGCACACGCGTATTTGACGAAGTATTACTTGTCCAGCCTTGCTGCTTTCTGCTTCTGTAATGTCCCACTGATGATGCAGCCCTTTCTGCTTCATCCTGTACATCTTGCAACTTCTGCAAGGGAACACTTGGGGAGAATATAACCCAAGCCAGAATTATAAATAAAATTTCAGTTTCATTTTGCTGACTTTAACTTATCCGTTAAACATCCCTGCCCTGTCTGACATAGGGATTAGAAAATTGATGGTGAGGTACTACTTCTTGCAGAGAGGGCCTGCCTTTGAGTAATCTCATTCCTTTACATAAGTCCATTATTTAAGGGTGAGGATTTTAGTGGGACTACTTTTTAACTTCAGGTGAGTGGACAGTCCCTTTTTGATCAGGTTCCTTTGGGAGAATCGAATCATCTTTCCATTTTCAAGCCTTTTGATAAGGCAACTGAGAAAGTCATCCTGCTCTTCTCTTTTTTTTAGAAGTATCTTTCGAGGAACCAAGGCTTACCTCCTGGTATGGGGAACTTCCTTACACGTACTCCAGGATAACAATGCAGCCAAACCCCAATGTATGTATACATTTACAGTTTTCTTTCATTATTGTGTACAAAGAAATCCTTTGCAGAGATTGAAACACAAAAATTCCATCTTCTATTTTGATCTGGAGTATCTATCAGCTTTTCATTTGTGATCAACAGTAGGCTCTAGTGTAATGTGGACAATTTCATAAAACGGGTATTTTGAGTGGACTGACTGAGAGGAGCTTGATTTAGCTGCTAAATGTTGACAAAAGGAAACTCCAGAGTTTAATGTTCTGCTTTTGGGTCACTCTAGCTTTGGACAAAACTCTAAATTGTTCTCTGTGACTTACTGTATGCATCTTTGTATTGGAGATTGTACTGTACACAGTCATGCTGAGTTTTTCATTGTAAATATCAATTACTGAAATAGTTACCTTCAGAAACACTGAGATTCAATACTGCTTAAATGAGAATTTAGGCATATTGTTGATTTCCTGGGTGAATGCTATGAAATTCACACACACAACCTGCCCGCTCAGCAGCTCCGGAGAGTATGATGTAATTTCCTGTGCTATTTTGGAAGGGTTAAAAAAACCTTCTGAGTGACTCCTTGAGGTTTTGTTCATATTCATTGTCTCTCTCTCTCTGGCTTCCAGCTTGTTGTCCTGTCAGCCTGTCTCTTGGTATTGCTTTGTTTGCAATTTCCATGGCAGGAGGCTGCAATGTTCTGAACCATGAGTTAAGTGGGACTGTTGAAGGCTGGGTGCTATGAGAGAGAAGTGTCCCAAGTCCTAGAACTGCTGCTGAAGAGGGGGTAGAAAGAGCTCCTAGAGCTCCTAGAAAAGCTCAATTTGGCAAAAGTGGAAAGGTGTTATTTAAAATAACAAGATGACTTGTGAAGATCTTGTAGTCTCAAAAATAACCGTAGTTCAGAACTTCCATAACCTATGGAATTTGTGGTGGAAAAGCAGGCTTTTCTTTTTTTTTTTTTTTTAATGTTTCACTGAATTTCACTGAATTTTTAGAGTTGGAAGGGACCATAGAGATCATCTAGTCCATGTTATCATCTAGTCCAAATGTTATCATTTGTGGAATAATATTTTAAATGGATTTCTCTAAAAGCTGAATGGCTTTATGGATTGGAAGTGCCCTTCCAAAATCATTCTGCTGTAGGCTGATGATTTAAAGCCAGTTCAGAATTGCCTGTTGGGGAAGCTGTTGCTGCTCCAAGGTTGGATAGAGGCTGTATAGCCTGAATTGATGGTTTCAGGTTGGTACGGTCCTTACCTGTAGAATAGGATTTATATAAAAAAAAATCCAGAGTAAAATGTCATTTAATGCACTGCTTGGCCAAAACCAATGACCTGCCTTGAATGCTTGATCTGTAGGAGTAACTTTGTGCCCCTCCTTTTTTGTTTGGTAAGACTGGGTGCCATTGCAGCACTGCTGGGTACAATCTGGTGCTCGTGCCTAAGGAATTCTGGTATTAGTAAGATGGTTCTTCGTAAGGAGTGATGTAGCTGGAGGCACAGTAATGAGTGGACAGTCCCTTTTTGATCAGGTTCCTTTGGGAGAATCGAATCATCTTTCCATTTTCAAGCCTTTTGATAAGGCAACTGAGAAAGTCATCCTGCTCTTCTCTTTTTTTTAGAAGTATCTTTCGAGGAACCAAGGCTTACCTCCTGGTATGGGGAACTTCCTTACACGTACTCCAGGATAACAATGCAGCCAAACCCCAATGTATGTATACATTTACAGTTTTCTTTCATTATTGTGTACAAAGAAATCCTTTGCAGAGATTGAAACACAAAAATTCCATCTTCTATTTTGATCTGGAGTATCTATCAGCTTTTCATTTGTGATCAACAGTAGGCTCTAGTGTAATGTGGACAATTTCATAAAACGGGTATTTTGGGTGGACTGACTGAGAGGAGCTTGATTTAGCTGCTAAATGTTGACAAAAGGAAACTGCAGAGTTTAATGTTCTGCTTTTGGGTCACTCTAGCTTTGGACAAAACTCTAAATTGTTCTCTGTGACTTACTGTATGCATCTTTGTATTGGAGATTGTACTGTACACAGTCATGCTGAGTTTTTCATTGTAAATATCAATTACTGAAATAGTTACCTTCAGAAACACTGAGATTCAATACTGCTTAAATGAGAATTTAGGCATATTGTTGATTTCCTGGGTGAATGCTATGAAATTCACACACACAACCTGCCCGCTCAGCAGCTCCGGAGAGTATGATGTAATTTCCTGTGCTATTTTGGAAGGGTTAAAAAAACCTTCTGGGTGACTCCTTGAGGTTTTGTTCATATTCATTGTCTCTCTCTCTCTGGCTTCCAGCTTGTTGTCCTGTCAGCCTGTCTCTTGGTATTGCTTTGTTTGCAATTTCCATGGCAGGAGGCTGCAATGTTCTGAACCATGAGTTAAGTGGGACTGTTGAAGGCTGGGTGCTATGAGAGAGAAGTGTCCCAAGTCCTAGAACTGCTGCTGAAGAGGGGGTAGAAAGAGCTCCTAGAGCTCCTAGAAAAGCTCAATTTGGCAAAAGTGGAAAGGTGTTATTTAAAATAACAAGATGACTTGTGAAGATCTTGTAGTCTCAAAAATAACCGTAGTTCAGAACTTCCATAACCTATGGAATTTGTGGTGGAAAAGCAGGCTTTTCTTTTTTTTTTTTTTTTAATGTTTCACTGAATAAACTTCCGTAACCTATGGAATTTGTGGTGGAAAAACAGCCTTTTCTTTTTTTTTTTTTAATGTTTCACTGAATTTCACTGAATTTTTAGAGTTGGAAGGGACCATAGAGATCATCTAGGAACTGTTATCATCTAGTCCAAATGTTATCATTTGTGGAATAATATTTTAAATGGATTTCTCTAAAAGCTGAATGGCTTTATGGATTGGAAGTGCCCTTCCAAAATCATTCTGCTGTAGGCTGATGATTTAAAGCCAGTTCAGAATTGCCTGTTGGGGAAGCTGTTGCTGCTCCAAGGTTGGATAGAGGCTGTATAGCCTGAATTGATGGTTTCAGGTTGGTACGGTCCTTACCTGTAGAATAGGATTTATATAAAAAAAAATCCAGAGTAAAATGTCATTTAATGCACTGCTTGGCCAAAACCAATGACCTGCCTTGAATAATCCAGAGTAAAATGTAATTTAATGCACGGCTTGGCCAAAACCAATGACCTGCCTTGAATGCTTGATCTGTAGGAGTAACTTTGTGCCCCTCCTTTTTTGTTTGGTAAGACTGGGTGCCATTGCAGCACTGCTGGGTACAATCTGGTGCTCGTGCCTAAGGAATTCTGGTATTAGTAAGATGGTTCTTCGTAAGGAGTGATGTAGCTGGAGGAACAGTAATGTTTCAACAAAATTACTTCCACTGCTGCAGGCGTGTAGTGGGGTTCCCACTGAATGGTCAAATTCACTATATGGTAATTTATTTAGTAATAAATCCTATTGTGATAGGAATTGAAGGAATCCAGTCCTAGTTGGTCACTGAAAAGTGCTTTCAGTAGATTTTGTTGGTCTCTTCTGTCATTGCATTGTATGTCCTGCACATATTGCAGGGTCAGGCAGCCCAGTTAGAAGCTATAGCATTTTTTGGGTAGTGTTACTTATTTCCCTACAGAACTGTCTAGGTTGGAAGGGACCTTTCAGATCATCGAGTCCAACCATCAACCTAACTCTGATAAAACCCATCACTAACCCATGTCTCTAAGCACTATGGCAACCTGGCTTTTAAATCCCTTGTTGGTCTCTTCTGTCGTTGCATTGTATGTCCTGCACATATTGCAGGGTCAGGCAGCCCGGTTAGAAGCTATAGCATTTTTTGGGTAGTGTTACTTATTTCCCTACAGAACTGTCTAGGTTGGAAGGGACCTTTCAGATCATCTAGTCCAACCATCAACCTAACTCTGATAAAACCCATCACTAACCCGTGTCACTGAGCACCCCTCCAGGGATGGTGCCTCAACCCCTTCCCTGGGCAGCCCATTCCAAGGCTTCATAACCCTTTCTGTGGAAACATTTTTCCTCATCTAAAATCTGAACCTCCCCTGGTGCAACTTGAGGCCATTTCCTCTTGTCCCATCACCTGTTCCTTGGAAGAAGAGACTGATCCTCCTTTCAGGGAGTTGGAGAGAGCAAGAAGGTCTCCCCTCAGCCTACTCTTCCTCCTTTTTGTTTTATGTTGAACAGAAAATACACAGATATGTATGTACCTGCACTCAACCTTGTAAAAAGTCCCCCTCCAATTTTCTTGTAGGTGTCCTTCAGATACTGGAAGGCTTCTATAAGGTTTCCCTGGAGCCTTTTCTTCTCCAGGCTGAAAAACCCCAACTCTCTCAGCCTGTCTTCATAGGAGAGGTGTTTCAGCCCTCTGATCATCTTCATGGCCACCTCTAGACCCACTCCAGGAGGTCCATGTCCTTCCTGTGCTGAGGACTCCAGAGCTGGATGCAGTGCTCCGGGTGGGGGTCTCACAAGAGCAGAGTAGAGGGGCAGAATCACCTCCCTTGACCTGCTGGCCACACTGCTGGGGATGCAGCCCAGACTCTTAATGTCTTTCTTGTGATGAGGGGCCCAAAAATTGGACGCAGCACTTGAGGTGCCCAGTACAGGGGGGCGATTGCTTCCCTGGTCTTACTCCCCACGCTGTTCCTGACACAGGCCAGGATGCTGGTGACCTTCTTGGCCACCAGGGCACACTGCTGGCTCATGTTAAGCCAGCTGTCAACCAATATCCCCAGGTCCTTTTCCACCAGGCAACTCCAGCCACTCTACCCCCAAGTCTGGAGTGTTCATGGGATTGTTGTGGCCCAAGTGCAGGACCCAGCACTTGGCCTCATCCCATTGGCCTCACCTCATTGATCCAGCCTGGCCAGATCCCTCTGCAGAGCCTTCCTACCCTCAAGGAGATCAATGCTCCTACCCAACTTGATGTCATCTGCAAACTGACTGAGGGTGTCAATCCCCTCATCCAGATTGTTGCTAAAGATGTTAAAGAGAAGGGGTCCCAGCTCCAAGCTGAGCCCTGGGGGACACCACTCATGACCGGCCACCAACTGGATCTAACTCCATTCACCACCGCTCTCTGGGCCTGGCCATCCAGCCAGTTTTTTACCCAGCAAAGAGCACTCCTGTCCAAGCCATGAGCTCCCACATGTCCCAGAGCTGCAAGCTGTGTTTATGTATAATTAATTATTCACAGGATGCTTAGTCACCGAAGGGATGACTTAGTTCGAAATACCCCTGATAGAGAAAGATGGTGTGTTGAGGCTCCTGCAGTGTAGCCAATAGGTTAAAAACCCCTTAAACGTGTGTTAGCATGAAAAGAAGGTGGTTCAGACTTGATTATTAGAGGTGGTTATTAGGAATTAATTCTTGCTGTCTCTTCCTCCTTCTGCCAGTGATGCACTGGGATGTTTGGAGTCAGTCCTTTATCCTCTCTTGATCTCTGTTGCTGCTTATATAATGGGTAAAAATTCTGGCCTACATTGCTTTGGCTTTTTTTTAAAAAAAAAACCACAACTTGTGTAGTACTTAAAAGCACTCTGACAGATGAAAGTCGTGATGTAAGTGTATAACATTAAATAAGGATTCAGTGGAGTGAGCAGTGGTGGAACGTGCAGGGCTGCCGTGGGCTACGGGCTCAGCAGGACATTAGTGAAGGGGAGGATGAGACTCAGGGCCCCGTGACACTGGTTTTGCAAACTGCTGAAAAGTTACGGTGTCGAAGGCAAAAGCCCGAGAGGGGATGAGTCAGTGGGGCTCAACCAGCTGTACTGACAGAGCAGGGGGCAGAGGGCCACGCTGGGACAGTGTTAGGCCGACTGTTGTCTCTTGGTCTGTGTCAACAGCTGCAGGCGATGGAGAGCGTGACGTTTAGTCACTGGTGGCAACTTTCTGGGTGCACGGTGGCCACCAGCAATTTCACTGAATTTCACTGAATTTTTTAGAGTTGGAAGGGACCATAGAGATCATCTAGTCCAACTCCCCTGCTGAAGCAGGATTGCCCAGAGCACAGCACTCAGGAGCATCCAGGCGGGGCTTGAAGATCTCCAGAGAAGGGGACTCCACACCCTCCCTGGGCAGCCTCTGCCAGGGCTCTGCCACCCTCACCCCAAAGAAGTTCTTCCTCAGATTGGAGTGGAACTTCCCATGGTCCAGCTTGTGCCCGTTGCCCCTCGTCCTGTCCCTGGGAACCACTGGAAAGAGTCTGGGTCCATCCTCCTTCAGCCCTCCCTTGAGATACTTGTCAGCATTAATAAGATCTCCCCTCAGCCTTCTCTTCTCCAGACTAAAGAGTCCCAGCTCTCTCAGTCTTTCTTCATAAAGGAGATGCTCCAATCCTTGAATCATCTTTGTTGCCCTACGCTGGACTCTCTCCAGCAGTTCCCTGTCCCTCTTGAACTGGGGAGCCCAGAACTGGAGGCAGGATTCCAGTTGTGGCCCCACCAGTGCAGAGCAGAGGGGGAGAATGACTTCCCTTGACCTGCTGGCTATACTCTTCCCTCTGCAGCCCAGGATTCTGTTGGCCTTCCTGGCCACAAGAGCACACTGCTTGCTCATTGTCATTTTGTTGTCCACCAGGACCCCTAGATCTTTCTCTTCAGAAGTTGTCTCCAGCAGGTCCACCCCTAACCTGTATTGCCAAGTAACTCGGATGTTATCAGAGCCCTGTGTTAAACTCCTCTAGCTATAATCAGAATTGTTCAGAGGCATTTGTTTGAGTTGATGTGGTGCTGGGAGGTATGGTTTAGTGATGATGCTCCTTGTTTGTTGTGTGGGTGTCTATTTTTGTCAGTTAGGTTGACAGTTGGACAAGATGATCTTTAAGGTCCCTTCCAACCTAGAAGATTCTGTGATTTTGTTTCTTAGTAATTTTCCCCTTTTGTCTTACGTGGTTTGCTTTCGTTGTACTTACCCAACTCCTGCCCTGCTGATTCCAGTGGCATCCTGTGCTGACCGTGCTGAAGGAGCAGATTGAAGAGTTCAGTGGTTATACCTTCAACTCCCTTCTCTGCAACCTCTACCGAAACGAGAAGGACAGCGTAGACTGGCACAGCGACGATGAGCCCTCGCTGGGCAAAAACCCTGTCATTGCCTCCCTCAGCTTCGGTGCTACCCGGACCTTTGAGATGAGGAAGAAACCCTCCCCTGTGAGTGTTCTTATCACATTGAGAGAGTCATATAATTGCTAATATGTTTAGACTTTTCCCTCTGTTTAGAGAACTTCATTACTAAAAGCCTTTAATACTAGTTAATGAAAGCACAGCTCCTGAAGTTCTGTGGAAGAAGTGTAGGGATCAAGAAATCCTGTCCCTGTGTAAATTAGCCAAAGAGTTGATATTGTTTTCTTAAACTCGGGCAAATATTGTGTAATGCATCGTGTATGAGGACAGGCTGAGAGAGTTGGGGGGGTTCAGCCTGGAGAAGAGAAGGCTCCAGGGAGACCTTAGAGCCCCTTCCAGTCCCTCAAGGGGCTCCAGGAGAGATGGGGAGGGACTCTGGATCAGGGAGGGGAGCCATACGATGAGAGGGAATAGGTTTTGAACTGAAAGAGGGGAGATTTAGATGAGATCTCAGGAAGCAATTCTTTGCTGTGAGGGTGGTGAGAGCCTGGCCCAGGTTGCCCAGAGAAGCTGTGGCTGCCCCATCCCTGGAGGGGTTCAAGGCCAGGCTGGATGGGGCTTGGAGCAACCTGGTCTGGTGGGAGGTGTCCCTGCCCAGGGCAGGGGGTGGAACTGGGTGATCTTTAATGCCTCTTCCAACCCAAACCATTCTGTGATGAATGTAGCTCTGTGACTGCTCTTGTAAGTAAGTAAGAGTAGCTCTGTGACTGCTCTTGTAAGTAAGTAAAAATTCCTTTAGTAATGTTTGTGTTTCGACTGGTGTGTGATCAGATTGAAGGATGGTGAACAGAGGGAAGGACCTCATTTCTTTTCCATAAAATAGGAAACTGTTGTATCATACTTTCACAGATTAAACAGAGATTGTTACTTTGAGGTGTGTGTGGAACATCCTTTCAGGAATTAATTGGTGATTTAGCAGCGAATTCTCTCTCTAGATAAAAAGCTGTGCTTGGGAATGCTGTGCTTACAAGCCAATTTAAAACTTAGATTTTGCAATTCGTATTTATCCAAGTCAAGGAATCACACTTTCCTGTGTTGAGAATACAGGCCTCATTTTGGTGTATCCTGCTTCAGGTGCCTTTTCTGCATGTGGAGTCTTCTATAACTTTGGGGTGAAGTTTGTTGTCTTTTTTCGCTGCTATTTATTTTGAATAAGGAATGCAGAAAGCAAAGGTGATGGTTATCAGCCTATTAGAAAACTGTAGGTACTGTCAGCATACACTCTGATCCCTCAAGAGTCACCTTGGCTCACCTAGTCCTGAACAGCAAAGGTCAGAATTGGATGAGAAAACAAAGAAATTCTTTGTATTTTTCACCAGTCCTCTAATTTGTAAATTCTTTGTTCCCTGAAGTGGATTTAATCGTGGTCCATGAGCGTGAGATCACACCACTGGTGCATTAATCAGTAGCATGAGTAAGTGTCTCTGATATTGTGATGATGACACTGTGTCAGCTGGAAGGTTCATTCCTCTGGGAAGCTGTAAATGGTGCTTGGATTCATTTCTCCAAGTGCATGTGTTCCCCTTCGATGGACAAGAATCGAACCCACTTAGACTTCTGTATAAACTTTGCAGTTTCCCTCTTAAAAATCAAACCCAATTCTTGGGCAAGATGTCTTTTTCTTCTCTTTTCTGAAAGGACACCCACTAGGAGCAAAGGGGGAAACTCAGTCTGTGCCGTTCATAATCGGCCGCTTTCTTTGATCCTGGACTGCACGATTTCTTCCCTTTTTTTTTTTTTTTTTTCCCCAGATGGGTGATTTTCTATAGATGTATTCCCTGAGCTCTCTGCCTGTTTTTTTTTCTCTGATGCCTCTGACCCCATGTTTCTTCCTCACTGAGTCATGTTACCTACGAGGGGTGGGAGTGTGACATACCTGCTCCGAAGTTACAGTCCATATTTGTGGTGGGATCTTGGAATAAATTGCTATTAACTGCATCCTGTGCCTCAGGGAACTCGTACTTCATAATTACAGGACAGGCTTTACGTATTCTTTGCACATTCCCAAAGCCTGCAATTTTCTGAGAGCATCCTATGACACTAGATGCTTTGCCAAGTGGGAGTTAACAGGAGGCTCTGATGGAAATTACCACCTTTCAAGCTTACCACCAAAGAAGTCGTTTTTCCTACTCTATTGTAAACGTAGCAGTCTCTCTTTCCTTAAGAGAAAGTTGAAGTTGATTGTAGATATTTGAAGTTTGATCATGGCTTTGTTCAAAAGCCAAGTAGTTTAGGAAAAAAGGGATTCAGATTAGCATTCCTCACAGGCATTCAGGCTCTCCCTGGTTTATAATCTGCCAGTATCAGTACATGAGGTTTTCCGGAGTTAGTCTTCAGTGAGCAGGGAAAGAGACAGTAAATCCTTTTTCCTCCCCAAATTAAACCGCTTTGAGGTCCAGCTTTCTAGTATTTCAGATTCTGGAGTTTCAAAGGCCTTCATTTCCTTTTGTTCTTGTAAGTGCTTTTAAGTAGTTCGAGATGAAAGATGTAGTGGAAATACAAGAGGAGAAATGGGGATAAATGGTACTGGGAAAAAAAAAAAAAAAAACAACCCAAAAGCTTTTGTGATCATGTACTGGGTACAAAACAGTATGTACCACAAGTCAGGGAGCTGTTGAAGAACATTAGATCAGAGTCTTCACTTCATGTTAGTATCTGTGCAAATATTTGCCATGTTAGGTTTTGAAATGGGGATGAACTTGTTAGAGACTAAAATCCTATTTCTCGAAGTGCAAAGCCCAGTAACGGTGGTGGGTGGGGTTTTTTTGTGCGTGTTTGTGTGAATTTTGACATTTCTCCAGTAGGAATTTGGTGATGTTTATAAAGGTCACTCTGCAACTGTCACAAAAGGAAATCTTTTTATCCTTTCTCTGCATTTTTCCTTGACAAAAAAAAATGAAAAAGAATATTATTTAGATGCAGGTCATATTTTTTTTTTTCCTTAAAAATGTCCTAGAGTGAGGGGAAGGAAAGGTTGAATCCTCTGAAAAATAATATTATTTAGATGCAAGTCGTTTTGTTTTTGTTTTTTTTTTTTTTTCCTTAAAAATATCTTAGAGTGAGGGGAAGGAAAGGTTGAATCCTCTACTTTTCTTTTTGGTGAGTACAGGACTGGACAAGTAAGTGTTCATCGCATCACTAGGCAGTGAGGGAGTGTGGAGAGGTGCACAGCCTACTCGAATCTGCATCAACAAGCAGCCCTTGGGGATAAGCAGAAATAATTCTGTCTCAGATTGCAGCCCAGTGCATGTAAAATAAAGCTGCAAATGCATTTCAGGAGTACATTCTACGCTGGAATTCAGGAGACTTAGTTTCTGGCATCATGTTAATTTCCATTCTATTTTACTTTACCTGCTGGAGTTTTTCTTTTTAAGCCTTCTTTCTACTCAATACTGCCTTTTCTGTTTATTTGTACCAGCTGTGTCGTTCTATCTGATATTTTGCCTTTGCTTTCCACTACCTCAATAAATTTACCTGAGGCTTATGTAGATTTATACTAGAACTTTTCCTTACCTTTTTGATTTTGATAACGTTTTAAGAAAAAAAAAATCCTTGATGGAGTCCAGGATTACTTACAGATTTTATATTCACAATTTCCCATCAACTCTTGCTGAGTTTTCCTCACTTATTTACTGTAGTTACTTGAATTAAGGATTTTTAAAAAGCCCAAGTTTTAGTCAGTGTAAAGCTTGGGTTGTACTGAATGTGCAACTCAAGATGATGAATATGCTAATATACTAAGATGCAGAACAGTTGCTCTACTAGATATGTTCTTGGAAGCAGGTGGTTTTGTAATATGTATATAGAGTTAGGAAGTGACCATAAAAAAGTTACCTGATAAATTTCTTTCCGTGTTGGTTATTGGTATTCTAAAAAAGTCTTTTCCTCCTTAGATGTCAAGAAGAAATTTCCTCCATAAACTCCTTGACCTCTGAAACTCAACTCAGTTTTTCTCTCTGTCTAACATTAGCTCTAGAGATAAAAGTTCTGAAATAAGATTTGGTGGACAGTGATAGTAATGGCACTAATCATGGAATTGTCAGAGTTGGAAGGGACCTTCTAGAGATCATCTACTCCAGCTCCCCTGCCAAAGCAGGGTTGCCCAGAGCACATCACTCAGGAGGATCCAGGTGGGGCTTGAAGGTCTCCAGAGAAGGGGACTCCACACCCTCCCTGGGCAGCCTCTGCCAGGGCTCTGCCACCCTCACCCCAAAGAAGGTCTTCCTCACATTGCAGTGGAACTTCCCATGTTCCAGCTTGTGCCCGTTGCCCCTTGTCCTGTCACTGGGAACTCCTGAGAAGAGTCTGGCTCCCTCCTCCTTCAACCCACCCTTGAGATACTTGTCAGCATTAATAAGGTCTCCCCTCAGCCTTCTCTTCTCCAGGCTAAAGAGTCCCAGCTCTCTCAGCCTTTCCTCCTCAGGGAGATGCTCCAATCCCTCCATCATCTCTGTTGCCCTACGCTGGACTCTCTCCAGCAGTTCCCAGTCTCTCTGAACTGGGGAGCCCAGAACTGGACGCAGGATTCCAGTTGTGGCCTCCCCAGTGTAGAGCAGAGGGGGAGAATGACCTTCCTCCACCTCCTGGCCACACTCTTCCCTACGTAGCCCAGGATCCCATTGGCCCTCTTGGCCACAAGGGCACATTGCTGGCCCATGGAGAATTTACTGTCCACCAGGACCCCCAGATCCTTCTCCTCAGAAGTGCTTTCCAAGACAGTAAAAAATTTTGTCAAACTTCACCAGCTCTGCAAAACCAAGTGATATGAAAATCTCTTTTTTTCTAAGTTAAAGCTAAACTCAGAGATGTCCCATTTAAACCAGAAAGTGACTACTGCTTTTACATACTGACTTTTGTAAGCCGAAAGGATGTTTTCTCCTAAATCATTTATCTTAGAAGAGTTCCATTTTAATCAAGATGAGCAAGAGATAAAAATAAGTGCGCTGTTAATCCATCCACAAAGTGAAATGATGTAATCCTGTGAAACAGAAACAGCCATGCACTGGTATTTCTCTGCATTTCATCAGCATTCAGGTTTATAATACCTATTTTTGTATTTTTTTCCTCGTTTCCTCTGAAGTTTAAGAAAACATTTCTGGTGCTACACCTCACTTTTAATAGATAAATGGCTAATAGTTCCAGAGGTTTAAACTCTTTTGCATTGTCCTTCCAAAGAATACCTGATACAGGTGATTGTGAATGCCTTTAGTGCTCCCTAATTCCAGAGCTTCATTCCAATCCCAGACATGAATAGGAAGTGTCAATTACATCAAGTGATGCTTTTAATTATTGGGAATTGATTTGATCCCACCCTAGCTCTTTTGCTTTTTAGAGGATTTGCAGTCTTCTTTCTGTCTGTGTTTTGTTTGGTTTTTTTAATACACACACACACACCCCCCCAGTTGTTCGTTTGAAAATCAAACTTTAACTGTTTGGGTTTTTTAATACACACACACTCCCAGTTGTTCGTTTGAAAATCAAACTTTAAGTCCAGGCCATAATTTTCCCTGTAGTTGATACTTCACTTTGTTATTTTGAGCTTTTCAGCAAGCCATGAACTTAAAAAAGGACAAACCTGCATGACATTGGGCCACAGCACAAATAATTATTAATAATTGAGCATTGCCTCCCCCGAAACACTCAGCAAGAGTGGTTTTAGGAGCCCACCAACCATTATAAGAAACTGGCAGAGAAGGTACCGCCTAACTAACTAAAAAATAGAAATTCTCAAACATTTGTTCAGCAACTGTCTAAGATACATGGTCCTTTAAAGGAACACCATCATGCTGTAGAAGATCAGACCTCGCCTAATTAATTTTTTCTAGTCTTCTTTGTAGTAATTTTGTATTTCTGGCTTTTCTTTCAAGAAGAAATAACTGGTTTGGTAATCTATTTTGAAAAAAAAACATTGTATCTCTGCTTCTAGAGGCAGTGGTACAATAAGAAATGTGCATTTGGGCTGGTTGCTATATGCAATGTGCTCAGAACAAGGTTAACTCTCTACTTGTCCAACGTAGAGACTGAGAACCTGTTGCACCTCTTTCCTTGGAGGACATTTATTATCTACTTTGCACTTTCAAGCTATCGATGGCTTTCTATAACTTAAAAATAAGAGACTTCTTGAGTCCCCTCTCTTTCAACACTAATTAAAATATTTCTCTAACTCCCCCTCTCCCTAAAATAATCCCTGTATTTTGCAGGGTGATTTCCTGTCTGAAACTTCTCTGAATTCTACATTTCGGAGAGTTGCTTTCCACTCTTCCTAGACAGCTTGCAAAGTTGTAACGGAGATCTAGAAAAGGCAAACTATATAATGGCATTCTCTATTTAGGGGGCATCCTGGTTTTCCTGTTTACATTTCAGTATTAAATTTCAATTTGTTCTTCTGGCTTAGCAGTCTGTTTTGCTTAGTGATGAGAAAGTTTAAGACAGCTTGGTTTAGGAGGTGCTATAGGAAAAGGAGATTTTTTTGGATAGGAAAAGTTCTTCATCTAACATATTATACTATCCCAACATGTAACGTCCAAACCACGACAAATTCAGAATAGAAGGAAGACGTGTGTTTTGGATAAACTAATTAACCCTTGGAATCAGGGTGGCTGTCACAGAATGTCTCCACACCCAGGTGTTTTGTATTTCAAGAGTAGATGTTTCCCAAAGGGCTACAGCCTCACTCCAGATTTTTGCACTAGATGTAGGAGCTTGGTGTTGGACTATCCCTGTGTTGTACAGGCAGTGAGACACGGTGGCTTCATTCATCCTGAAAATGCTCCGCTCCTAAACTCGTTATGAAACGTGGTAACAGAGGTTTAATTAGGTTTCTTGATATTGCTGTGCCGCCACACAGCGAGACTTGGACAGGTTGGGCAGAGAGGAACCTGAGGAACTTCAACAAGGGCAAGTGCAGGGTGCTGGACCTGGGGAGGAATAACCCCCTGCACCAGGACAGGTTGGGGCTGACCTGCTGGAGAGCAGCTCTGAGGAAAAAGACCGGGGACTCCTGGTGGACAACAGGATGCCCATGAGCCAGCAATGGGCCCTTGTGGCCAAGAAGGCCAATGGCATCCTGGGGGGCATCAAGAAGAGGGAGGTCAAGCAAGTGGAGGGAGGTCATCCTGCCCCTCTGCTCTGCCCTGGGGAGGCCCCATCTGGAGCACTGGGACCAGTTCTGGGCTCCCCAAGTCAAGAAGGACAGGGAACTGCTGGAGAGGGCACAGCAGAGGCTACAGAGATGATGAGGGGCCTGGAGCATCTCTCTGATGAGGAAAGGCTGAGGAACTTGGGTCTGTTTAGTCTGGAGAAGAGAAGGCTGAGGGGGGATCTGATCAACACCTATAAATACTTCAAGGGTGGGTGTCAGGAGGATGGGGCCAGGCTTTTTTCAGTGGTGCCCAGGGACAGGACAAGAGGAAATGGGCACAAACTTGTATATTAGAAGTTCCACCTAAAGATGAGGAGGAACTTCTTTGCTGTGAGGGTGGCAGAGCCCTGGCAGAGGCTGCCCAGGGAGGTGGTGGAGTCTCCTTCTCTGGAGACATTCAAACCCCACCTGGATTTAAGTCCAGGCCATAATTTTCCCTGTAGTTGATACTTCACTTTGTTATTTTGAGCTTTTCAGCAAGCCATGAACTTAAAAAAGGACAAACCTGCATGACATTGGGCCACAGCACAAATAATTATTAATAATTGAGTATTGCCTCCCCCTAAACACTCAGCAAGAGTGGTTTTAGGAGCCCACCAACCATTATAAGAAACTGGCAGAGAAGGTACCGCCTAACTAACTAAAAAATAGAAATTCTCAAACATTTGTTCAGCAACTGTCTAAGATACATGGTCCTTTAAAGGAACACCATCATGCTGTAGAAGATCAGACCTCGCCTAATTAATTTTTTCTAGTCTTCTTTGTAGTAATTTTGTATTTCTGGCTTTTCTTTCAAGAAGAAATAACTGGTTTGGTAATCTATTTTGAAAAAAAAACATTGTATCTCTGCTTCTAGAGGCAGTGGTACAATAAGAAATGTGCATTTGGGCTGGTTGCTATATGCAATGTGCTCAGAACAAGGTTAACTCTCTACTTGTCCAACGTAGAGACTGAGAACCTGTTGCACCTCTTTCCTTGGAGGACATTTATTATCTACTTTGCACTTTCAAGCTATCGATGGCTTTCTATAACTTAAAAATAAGAGACTTCTTGAGTCCCCTCTCTTTCAACACTAATTAAAATATTTCTCTAACTCCCCCTCTCCCTAAAATAATCCCTGTATTTTGCAGGGTGATTTCCTGTCTGAAACTTCCCTGAATTCTACATTTCGGAGAGTTGCTTTCCACTCTTCCTAGACAGCTTGCAAAGTTGTAACGGAGATCTAGAAAAGGCAAACTATATAATGGCATTCTCTATTTAGGGGGCATCCTGGTTTTCCTGTTTACATTTCAGTATTAAATTTCAATTTGTTCTTCTGGCTTAGCAGTCTGTTTTGCTTAGTGATGAGAAAGTTTAAGACAGCTTGGTTTAGGAGGTGCTATAGGAAAAGGAGATTTTTTTGGATAGGAAAAGTTCTTCATCTAACATATTATACTATCCCAACATGTAACGTCCAAACCACGACAAATTCAGAATAGAAGGAAGATGTGTGTTTTGGATAAAGTAATTAACTCCTGGAATCAGGGTGGCTATCACAGAATGTCTCCACACCCAGGTGTTTTGTATTTCAAGAGTAGATGTTTCCCAAAGGGCTACAGCCTCACTCCAGATTTTTGCACTAGATGTAGGAGCTTGGTGTTGGACTATCCCTGTGTTGTACAGGCAGTGAGACACGGTGGCTTCATTCATCCTGAAAATGCTCCGCTCCTAAACTCGTTATGAAACGTGGTAACAGAGGTTTAATTAGGTTTCTTGATATTGCTGTGCCGCCACACAGCGAGACTTGGACAGGTTGGGCAGAGAGGAACCTGAGGAACTTCAACAAGGGCAAGTGCAGGGTGCTGGACCTGGGGAGGAATAACCCCCTGCACCAGGACAGGTTGGGGCTGACCTGCTGGAGAGCAGCTCTGAGGAAAAAGACCGGGGACTCCTGGTGGACAACAGGATGCCCATGAGCCAGCAATGGGCCCTTGTGGCCAAGAAGGCCAATGGCATCCTGGGGGGCATCAAGAAGAGGGAGGTCAAGCAAGTGGAGGGAGGTCATCCTGCCCCTCTGCTCTGCCCTGGGGAGGC